GGGATAAATATATATCTGTGATCAAACCCAGAGAGAAAGACAGAAAGGATAGATAGATAGATAGATAGATAGATAGATAGATAGATAGATAGATAGAGATTTGAATACACAAAGGTATATGGGGGTATATCTGTGATCAAACCCAGAGAGAAAGATAGAAAGATAGATAGATAGATAGATGATAGATAGATAGATAGAGAAGATCAGGTTAAATGATAATGATGAATGATAGATAGATAGATAGATGAATGAATGATAAGATAGATAGATAGATAGATAGATAGATAGATAGATAGATAGATAGATTTGAATACACAAAGGTATATAGGGATAAAGTATATATCTGTGATCAAACCCAGAGAGAAAGACAGAAAGGATAGATAGATAGATAGATAGAGATAGATAGATAGATAGATAGATAGATAGATAGATAGATTTGAATACACAAAGGTATATAGGGATAAAGTATATATCTGTGATCAAACCCAGAGAGAAAGACAGAAAGGATAGATAGATAGATAGATAGATAGATAGATAGATAGATAGATAGATAGATAGATAGATAGATAGATAGATAGATATATAGGGAAAAATATATAATGATGATCAAAGTAGATAGATAGATAGAAAGATAGAGAGAAAGATAGAAAGGATAGATAACGATAGATAGATAGATGAAGATAGATAGATAGATAGATAGATAGATAGATAGAAATATTTAACGTCTCCTGCAAATTCCTAAAATATAATGGAATATTCAGCTTTGATCGCGTAGCAAAACAAGCCATGAGAGAAGGAAAAGAAAGAAGGAAAGGAAGGATAGATAGATAGATAGATAGATAGATAGATAGATAGATAGATAGATAGATTAGTAAAAATGTATGTTAGAGTGGGAAAAGTATATATATTCCCTTCTGCTTTCTCGGTGAGGACCTTACAGTTGAAGATTTGTTCCACTCTGCTACTTACGTTTCTAAAGCCTTCCTGCTCTTTTGACAGTAGTTCTACAGTCTTGACGCTTGAAAATAATACGGAGCTTGAGCTTGCTGGGGTGGCTGATGAGGCATACTGTTCTCTAATTCTGGCATTGCCTGGAATCACCCTTATTTGGTAGGGGTATCACCAGTGATTGGGTCCACTCTTTTGGCAACTTCCTCTGTTCCCGAATCTGAACTGTTAGGGCCTTGACAGTCTCTTCACCTCCATTTTTCATCAGTTCAAAGGGTATTTTATCCACTCCCGGTGACTTGCCAGGTTTCATCATACTTACTGCTGCTTCTACTTACTCCTTCAGTATTGGTGGATGCTCCTCGCCTTCTGTGGCGTTTAAGGTCGTATTGTACATTATAAGTATCTGGTTGGAGCTCGGAATTGTACAGGTCATCGCAGTATTTGATCTACCTCTTCAGAACTCCTTGCCATCTTTGTCATGGTCATCTATGAGAGCTGCTCTTGACCGACTGGCTGGCTGTGTGGTCTTGGTGAGGGATTTGATATTTTAGGCCTTCTTGCTATCACCTGATTCAGTTAAAATAAAATTAATATTTTTGATGATGGCTAACAGATAAGCTGAATGTGCTCAGATCTGTAGAACATCTGAACTGTTTTTACATACTCTATGTACAGAAAAGAAAATATTCGTGTTTTCGTGTGTTTGCTCTCCCTATGTGGATTAAAAAGTATTTATAAGAATTTGGAAGAGAGCACTTTAATATACGTCAGAAAAAGAATTTAAAATAATATATACATAAATATATACATATATATATATAAGAAAAAGAATATAAAAATAATATATATTATTTTTTTATATATATTATTATACATACATAAATTCATATATATATATATATATATATATATATATATATACGAGTTTATAACTGCATTGCTTAACATTTGTTATATTTATGGGTGGAATCAGTTTCAGTTTAGGTTATCATCAAAGAGTAACGGACGGTAACGATGCAAAGTTTGTTTCTATATCCAAAATATATATATATATATATACATACACATCATTAAATTTCTAAATCATGAAAAATTATTAAACCATATGCAGGAGTTAACGGTTTTTTGCCGACATCAACAAACTTTCGCATTAAATAATTAGCATAAAATTTTTTTTTAAATCCCATAGCTAAATAAAAGTCTTAAAAGCTTAGCCAAATCATTAAATATGAAAACCCCTTTTTGTAGTCATCAAAAAACAAAAATAAAAATTGAAATTCAGTGCAATACCCACTTGAATAAACAAATAAATAGATAATCAGATGGACAATAATAAAAGACAATTCTCCAGACACACAACGACTTGTAGGCGCGCCATAAAAATATCCCTCACTAGGAACCAACTAAAGGGTGACCGCAAACATTAGCCTTGAAATAGATACCCTACCAAACCTTAGCAAAACCTCTCAGAAGATGATGTATCTATTGATAAGAATTAACTCTCTGACCACTTAACGAAGGTGCTTCGCCTAGCCACTCCCACAATAACGAATTTTGTAACGGATCATGCCTAAAAACACACGTAAACCAAGAGATAGCTTATTCCTAAAATTTCGCTTAAAGATGAAACGGGACTAAACACCTCAATTCAACTTAATTTTAATAATTATTTGGATGGTTTCGGCTCTCGTTTTTGAAACATGAGAACTCTTATGTAGCGAAGGAATCATATTTTTAAACAAAAAATATTATTATAATTAAGCTCTACTTCTGTATGGAGCACTGTCTTCTTAAAAATAAAAGCAAAAATACTAAGGAACCCCGGATTATGCACCCCAACGTGTTCTTTTCTATTTTCTGCATACCTGCACTTATATATATATATATATATATATATATATTTTCTGCATAGTTAGCTGCACTTATATATATATATATATATATATATATATATATATATATATATATACACAGAAAATATGAACAGTCTAATCTTGAGATGACAGAGATAGGTATTTCTAGAAATAGATAGGAATTGATAGATAGATAGATAGATAGATAGATAGAAGAAAAAACATTGCCTCTCGTAATTCTTTAAAAGCATGTGGTTTTGTTGTGTTGGTGAAAAACATACCATATATAACTGATTTACCATATTTGACTCCATAACCGAGACAGTCCAGGCGTAATCTTAAGATTCCCTGCGCTTGCGCTTGCGCGCGCGTGTGTGTGTGTGTGTGTGCAACAAGCTTTATGATTTTCACCCCACATCCTCTAAAGCTGACCCCAGCCTCCGAATGGACAGTAAGTAAAAGTGTTTGATCTTCGAAAGCAAGGGGCAGGGTTTTACAATGTTCAGCCATGTGCCTTAATCTCTACAACTTCTTCAGAAGTCTTTTCGAGGAAGGCAATTCATATTTACATCAGGCTACTCACCATTCCATGAACACAGAAATCAACCAGTTATTGGTGTTGAGCTAAACGGGAATTAGCTTTCCTGTTTGAACCACTCGAAGAAATCGGTGGATGGATTTGGTTTATGGTTGATTTGCAGAACTATATTGTTGTGTTGCTTTTGTTTCTCCTAGGCTCTTCCACCAATCACCTTCTGTTCTGATCTTGCATGGTTTCAAGTGGACAATTCCCCCAATTGTTATTGCTTGAGTGTCGATTACTTTTGGGCTATGACACTTATCCGTTTTGTTTTGAGTGGAATGGTTTCCAGTAATTTCCTTGGATGTTTCATGATGGCGGAGTTTTCACACTTGTTGTGCGTGCAGTGTTCCAAGTGAATTATTCACCGGTCATTGCTAGGCATTTGTTTGTTTAAGCTCATGACCTCCTCTTTTCGAAATTGAGTCCATCTTGTTCTAAATGCCTGATAGGCTAATCATTTTTTTCTTTCATGATTTGCTTGGTTGAGCTCACTCATTGTCCTTTAGGGCATAAATGTTGTCAATAACTGTCGCCGGAATTATTTTCTTATCTTAAATTTGTTTGCAATACTTTCATTTTTTTTTTTTACCCACGTCAACGAATGGTCAGATTTTGAAAATGCTTACCTACACCTGGCACAGAGCCACGATATTGGAGCATCCAGTGAGAATCGATCCCACTGCATTAAACGCAGCGTGCAAGACAAGCTATCACTCTTGTAAATACACGCACATATATAAAGACATGAAAATAAGTAAGAAGACTTAGTGATAGATAGATAGATAGATAGATAGATAGATAGATAGATAGATAGATAGATAGATATGAACAGACTGAGAAATATATATATATATATATATATATATATATATATATATATATATATATATATATATTAGATTTGTTGTTAATTTGTACATTTATTACTCAGATTCATATATAGATAAATAGTTATCAACATACTGAGAATATATACATATATATATATATAAATGAACAGTCTAAGATAGATCGGTATGAACACATAGATAGATAGATAGATAGATAGATAGATAGATAGATAGATATGGACAGACTGAATCTAGATAGATAGATAGATAGATAGATAGATATGGACAGACTGAATTTAGATAGATAGATAGATAGATAGATAGATAGATAGATAGATAGATAGATGAAATGAACAGACGGAGAAAGAGAGATAATAATGAACATACTGAGAATATATATATATATATATATATATATATATATATATAAATGAATAAATGAACTAAGATGTGACAGATTTAGATAGATAGATAGATAGATAGATAGATAGATAGATAGATAGATAGATATGAACAGACTGAGAATGATAGATAAATAGATAGACAATTAACAGATTTAGATAGATAGATAGATGGATAAGCGAAATTGAATGAAACTTAGAGTTTGTAAATACGATAAAAAATGTTCGCGATAACTTCAATAATACTAAATACTGTGAGGATTTCAAAACACGCCAGCGTATTTCAAAAAAATTCTAGTGATGAAAAATACAATAATGCCGAAAGAAAGATAAAAAATAATTAATTAGAGACCGACTTACGACCAGATCAATTTACGACCAGTCTTGTCGTAACCAATTGTGGTCGTAAGTCGACGACTATCTGTATATAAATCCATGAGTACTTGTGGCATGTGATTTTTTTTTTCAAGATCTCATCAATTTACAATTGAGCTGTCTAGATGTAACCGTAAGTTTTATGCTAACAGTTTCTCTTCCGGTTCCATGATTTCAGCCAATTTTAATCTGCAAAAATTTAAATGCAATGTCAATCGCTATCTACTTTCCTCCTGATTACTCTTTTCTCTTCTATGAATGTTTCTGTTCCTAATTCCTCTACAGCCTATAATCCCTTGTGTTTTAGTGGCTTTACTGTTTTGCATGGGGTGATACCGATTATAAAAAAAACAGCCTCTGTCTCTCTCAATATTGTTACTACGTCTACAAGAAGATTCCACTTGAAACGCTTGTCTCGCGAACGATTAATGGTGTGCTTGTTTCAAACAAACATCATTCATCAAATATTTAGAACAATAGACAAAGCTCTCGTAAATAAGTATACAATAATGTTTGCGTTTGAAGAAACCAAAGTTTTTCTTCATTTTTTCTCTTCAAAATAATATTTAATTCATATTACAACAGAGGAAATTACTTTAAACTAATATTTGCTGTTTACGTTCAATTTGCTGCACGGTGCGATTTTCGACTGTTTAAGCAAGGAACATTTTTGTTCCAATATTCAATGAACAAACAATATGGAAATGATTCCGTCTGTGTGCAATATAATTATTTGTCAGTTTCTTTATACATTATTCTTTCAAAGAACGAATGGAAGGAATTTATCTACGCCTTTAACATACAAATGTACTCAGCGGCGGTGAGAGTGGGGGCAAGCGGTACAAATGTGCCAGGCCTCGAAATCCGAGATGCTTCTAGAATATACCTTTAGGGTTTGTTTTGTATAGGATGCTTCTTTACAAAAAGTAGATAGCAAAATTACGAATCGGTATTTTATTGAAAAAATGACGTAGACCAAAACCAGTTCCAAAGCAGCTTGAAAGTGCATTTTTCGAGCTTTCATTGAAACAAAATTCGTGATGAGTTCCTCAAAGCCTAATTCTTGTGCCAAATCACACTTGATCGCAAGGGTTGCCAAGTAAGACATGCTCTTTAAAAAGTCTTGTAAGAGATCCTAGATCGAGTTTGTCTGTCTCGGCATCTCCTTTTCCGACCGGGGAGGTGGCCTCAAAATAATCTGAATGCCGGATATCATAAATTCTCTCCCTGGTACTCATTTGGGGAGGAAGCAGAGGGAAAGGAATTTGTTGAGAGCTACAAAAGATAGAGAGAAGTGAAGAGCCATGATCGCCTACGCCCTGAAAAGGTCATGGCGCATAAAAAGGAAGGAAGTAAAAGGATTACAGTTCAATCAAAAGAACGATGGCGAAACGCAAGTAACCTGTTTGACTTGTCAGTAGTGGCGGCGAGAGGTGGGGGTGGTGGCACAAATGTGCCGGGTCTCAAAACCTGGGGGACTCAAGAAAAAAACCTTTGGGGTTTTAGTTGGGGGGTGCTTCTTTACAAAAAGTAGAGAGCAAAATTACGAATTATTGAAAAAAAGACGAAGACTAAAACCAGTTCCAATCAAATTAAAAGTGCATTTTTCAAACTTTCATTGAAGCAAAATTCCTGATGATTTCCTCAAAGTCTAATTCTCGTGCCAAATCACACTCGATCACAAGGGTTGCTAAGTAAGACACGTTCTTTAAAAAGTCTTTTAAGACAGGCTAGATCGAGTTTGTTTGTCCCAGCATCTCCTTTTCCGACCGGGGAGTAGGAGTCTCAAAATAATATGAGTGCCGGACCTTGGAAATTCTCTTCTTGATTTAATGTACTCGTAGATTTTATATACAACACTGTACAAATGACTTTGGAATCTTTAAATTCTTGTGAATATCTGATAATTGCCAATTTATATGCAGATGTTTCGCCTTGCGTATTCTACAGCTGAAACATTGGGCTCTGTTTGATCTTTATTTTATGGAACAGACTCCCGAGAGAATGCTCTCCCGAACACTACAATCTCAGGCTCTTAAAACGCTATCATTTCCATTCCCATCATTTTTTTTAATTTATACCCTCAGGCCATAAGCGACCATGGCTCTCCACAGCTTCCTGTCCTTTGTAGCTCTTAATAAATTTTGTCTTTCTGTTATTTCTCTTATGCCCTGTTCCAACATCCATTTACTCCACCTCACTAAGTATGCTATGCGTTTCTTTCCACTGGTCCTCTTGCCGTCAATCTGTCCTGTGAGTATCAATTATTCCAAGCCCCCTTTCCTCATTATGTGCGCTAGAAACCTCAGTTATCTCTTCTTCATTCTAAATATGAAATTAACTTTCCTTTTTGTTTCCATTTTCTCTAAAAACTTCGCCATTGATCACTTGTTTGGACCCTGGTATACTCAGCATCCTCCTCTAGAACCATATTTCTGTTGCTTCAAGTCTCTTCGTCATCTCTGAGGAGATTGTTCAGCACTCACTGCCATACAGATACCAGGTAA